GTATAATATCAGATACTTGGGGCAGGAAGCAACTGAAATCTCACACWTTGTCAGTACAATGGTGCATCCATTTTGGAGACATTTTGGTAGTTTCTTATAAATTCAAATATGCACTTTCCATGTGACCCAGGATTATCATCCCCACATATTTACCAAAGAGGAATGAAAACACATATCCACATAGAGGCTTCTACCCAAAGTGTTCATACAATTCATCCATTTAGCCCCAAACTGGAAACAACCAAATTCCTATCAATAAATGAATGGAAAAACAAATTGATGTATAGCCACATGAAGGAATATGATTTAGCAATGAAAAAGAAAAGATGTGATACATGTGAATATATGGATGATTCTCAAAACCATGCTGACCTTCAAAYGGGGCATTTGAGTTTTCAGTTATGAAAACCTCATTTGTTGAGAATCTACTATGTCATAATAGACAGGCATTTGGATATGCTAGTCTCATTAAAAACCCTTTAAGGTCAATGAGTGTTTTTTCCTAAGTTTCCTCCATTTCCCTTTTTGATGTCATCTAGMATTTTAGAACTTTGGGCATGAGTTAATCCAGTAGTCTCTAGCCTCTTCATTTTCAATTTCGTACTGTCAGAAATTTTTTTCACAAAGCAATACTTCTTTACGTCATCATGAAAACAAACAAAAATAAAATACAACTGGTATCCATGTTAACAYTGAATACAATTCTTTGTAGGCCCAGTCCTTCCTCCAAACCTCAGAAGAATACCTTCTAAGATTTCTTACCAAACCAATAAAATATTTTTTCTCATATTAGTAAGTCCACTTGTGAATGTAAGTCTTCTGACTTGTTCTGATAACCTACTCCAGGAGTTGACCTTGACATTTTTTTCTTAGCTTTGCATGATTAAAAACATAATCTGGTCCCCTCTCCAGACTTTTCTCCTTTGGTAAGAGGGACTTCCATTCTTCAGATTATTCAGGTTTGAAACAATGGAGTCTGTGGATCATCTCTCTCTTCTATCCCCGCCCCCATATGCAGACAATTAACTTTTTTGTATTTATTCATTACATATTTCTTTTTCATCTATTTCTTTATATAGGACCCCAACCACTATGACAGTTTAGGCCTCTGTCTCCTCACAGTAGGTTCTGTGATAATCTTCAACTTGGTGTTCTATATTTCTAGACTTCCAAGTGGGAGTCTAGAAATATAGAGTTTTGAGTTTTCAGTTATGATAACCTCATTTGTTGAGAATTGACTGTGTCATAATAGATAGGCATTTGGATATGCTAGTCTCATTAAAAACCCTTTAAGGTACATGAGAAACCAAACTCATTTTGAATAATTTGTTCAAGGTTATAACAGCTGTTGGGGGACAGAACTGGCAGGAATTCTATGTAGGCACCAAAGCCCATTTATATGTAAGAAACAGAAAACAGCTGAGATTTACAACACTCTACATTGGCAGAGGTAGGGGATGAGCCATTGCAGTTGAGATGCAGTTTAGAGCATWTTGGTAGGTACTATTATTCTCTCTTTCAATTTTCTATTCAAGTGTTTTTCTAATTAGAGGCTATTCTTTTAAGTACAGTATTTATTAGACAAAAGTTCTGCTTTAAATTTTTATAAAATGATAGATCTGATTAAAATATATTTGGATACCTTCAAGGATACTTCCTTTCATATGCCTGRCATTAAGACATCCAGCAAGCTCAGTAATTGTTGGCTGGATGAGTGAATACTAGTACACGCTTTTGAATACTCACAATTTTTCTTTGGTTTTGTTTTGGTTTTTCTTTTGAATATCTATAATTCTTAATATGCTYATTGAGCAGAGCCATTAGGCAAATTGCCTTATCACCTCTATCTGACAAAGGGAGAAACCAAGTTAACACCATCTGTCGTATGGGTGAAGCTGGGATTAGATTTTATTCCAAAGCTTTGTTCTAAACCACACCAGTTTCTTGTTTCTCATCTAGTGGAAGCATTACTTTCAGCGTTATTCAGGTTTTTAATAGAATAATAGGCCCATTTTTTTATGTCAAAGTTTAAGAAGAATGTAGAGTAAGGGTCCTTCCTATCTCTGTTGTTCACTTGAATAGACTTGCCTTGTATCTTTGGATCTTTGATCCATAGTTACACCTCTGGCCCCTGGATTCATGAAAATTGATGAGAGATTTTGTGCATCTACATTAATACATTTTTCTCCTTGGGGCAAATGCCCATACTCTCAGCAGATCCAAAGAATTTTACAACTACTAGAAGATTAAAAACCTCAGACATATAGAAAACATTTGAAATTTTTCTTGAAAGATAATCAAGATTATTAAATGCCCCCAAATGTATATAGGTGGATTTATTTGAAGAGTTATCYACAGCTTACTTTTTATCTTTATAAAGGAGATATTGGTTAGGGGACTAGGAATTAATGTTTATTATATGCTAGCTTTTTAAACTCTGTATCATTACCAGAAAGATAATTTTTTTTTTACAACTGCAAAAACCAAGGCTTAGAGTGGTAAGAGGTAAGCCCAATGATCTAGTGATAAATGGTACAYCTAGGATACCCAGAGGTGTCTAACTCTAAAGCCAATATTGTCCCACCTCGTGGGTAGACACAACCTGGGTATTTGTGTGCAGCTAGCCTTGTGGAGCAGGTCCCTTAGTTATTTCATGCAACTCTATCTACAATAGAGGCTGTGTTATGTGTCATTTTAAGGACATTTTGAAGAACAGGAATTCAGTCACACTTTAAGATCATGTCCCAAGTGCTGGTGGCTTTTTTTCTTTTTCTCATTGCTGCATTCTGATCTCTGGAACTCCCCGCCAGGCAAAGCTGACCCAGCTGCAGTGGCTAACTTAGTGCAGGCTTCTGATGGCCACAGGCCAAGCCTTCCTATCTCTGTCCACTTGAGTAAACTTGCAGCCTTCCTATTACCACAGCTGCAGTCTGGTTTGCAACATTCTTGAAACAGAAACAGGAACTGGGATGGTGTGTTTCCTTTTTTAGCGTCTACATCGTTTACTTCTCCTTGACTAGCATCTCCTATCCCATCACCTACCTTGCTTGAGAATTTCTCTGTGAACAAACACTTGTTTGTGAAGCCTTGAAAATCACAACCAGGCTTTTGAGATCTCTTGAAGGCTTTTCTTGCCTCCTCCAGAACACACTTGCAGAGGAAGGTTTTAGAGAAGCAGGTAGTGTTGCCCTCCAGTGGACTCTTCTATGCAATTGAGGGTGGGGAGGAGACTGGCATGGTGGATTGGGTATTTCTCCYGACAATGGGAGAGAGAGAATTCTTCTGCAGAGAAGGCCTCCTAGGTCTCTCAGCCCCTGCTCCAAGAAATCCAGCTCAGCAGTGCTGAATATCAATCAATTTGAAGTTAGTGTAATCTTACAGCTATGATCCTCCACTTTACTGGGATAGACCACTTGGGGGAGGAAAGTGGGGACCAGGCAGAAGCGGCAGTGATGGAGCCAGGGTCATGGTGGCAGCAGAAGAAATGAATGAGGATTTACTTACACTGAAGAAAGCAGATAAGAACTGGGTTCCTTGCTTTACAAAAGATTACCCATTTTCTTTAAGTTGTGAATTGTCCTTTTTAATACATTCTAAATGACTCCACTGTTGACTTAAAAGGGGAAAGAAAACTTCCCATACACAAAATTTCCAAAAACCACACCTATCTGATTTCATTGTAGAAAGTATATATGAATTGTATTAGTTTTCTAGGGCTGCCAAAACAAAGTGCCACAACCCAGGTGGTTTAACAACCCCAGGAATTTGTTATCTTCCAGTTCTCSATGCTTGAAGTCTCCAATCACGGTGTCAGCAGGGTCAGGCTCCCTTTGAAACCTGTAGGGGGTACTGTCCTTGCTTCTTCTGCAGGTTTGCCAGCAATCTCTGGCATTCCTAGGCTTCAGGTGTGTCACTCCATCCCCTCATCTGCATGTGGTCTTCTCCTGGGTGTCTCTATGCATATACACAGACAGATCAATGCATATCTTTCTCTGTGTCCAAATCTCTTTACTAGAAAGACACCAGTCCCTAGATTAGCCCCTGTCTTCTTGACATCACCTTAACATGACTATATCTATAAAATCCCTGGACACAACTCAACCCATAACGTAGTTATCATGAAATACAACACTTAAAAATGCCATTATCTTTGTGAGTCTGTGAGTTACTCTGAAGTCATTACCTTCTACCTTTCAAAAACACTTTCAGATACCGTTTTCTTATTCAGTGATCAAGTGTGTTTCTCATCTWGTTATTAGTCTTAATTAGCTGCTGTATCATTCCAGTGCAGCCTAAACTACACAGTAAAAAAAGAGGGCTTTGATATGAAAAGTATAATATATTTCTGGGCTGATGTTGAACCTTGGACATGGCTGCTCACAATGGTACCTTTTATTCCTTTAATGTTCATCAGTATCTGCTTTTCTGCCTTTGTTCTGTGGGATGTTTTCCTTGGAACTGTCTTTTCCATCTACTTTTTCTGTCATCTTACTTTGAACTTCGTATCAAGTTTAGGTTCCATTTAATAAGCATGCAGATCAAAGAGGGCATAATTATCTTTAATAAGCAAACCTAACAGCAGAATCCTGGAGAACTTTCAGAAAGTTCATTTCCTTATACATCTACCATGGTTGGGGGCACATAAAAAGAATCCTTGTCTGTACTTAGAAACTCCATACATTACCTATAGTATTTTGTTTTTCTACACATTAAAATTTTAACAAAGACAAAGGTGGCAGACACTGACAATAGACACTTTGGCTACATTTGTGCACTGGCGACCATTGTGGGGCTTAAATTTTCAACATCTTTGTTTTATCCAAGAGTAAAGTTTTCTCATTTTGAAATACAGTGTTCTTGAACGTGGATGTAGCTCAGCACGTGCAAGGACCTGAGTCTGGTCCCTAGCAACGCACCCCCCACACATACATACACAGAAGAAGTACAGTGTTTGTTTCTTGTAAGACTGAAAATACTTTATTCCTATCTCTTTTAAATACATTTAGTYGGAGAATATTAGTAGCATGGTAACTCATCCTCTCCAGGTGTTATTTCCTCAGGTCAGGCAACAGGCGGTCACAAGTATGTGTGAGCATCTTATAAAGGAGTGGATGACRACCTCAACAGCTGCCTTTATCTTCTATTTTATTACTCATGATTCATAATCCAAAATATGAAGTTTTGGTGCTTTTTCTCAAAAGGAGAAACTTGAGGGAAATGTCTGAAGCAAAGATATTGACCTTCTTCTCCTTTCTTCATGAAACTTTAACTGCATATTTCAGTCTTGTGGAATCTTTTGTGTTGTTCTGACTGTCAATAAGAACCAGGGGACTGTGCTGATGATTCTTGATGATTTCAGCAACACTTCCAAAGTACTAGAGGAAGAAAATATAAATGAGTTAGAATGGGCACTTATGTGAACTTCACCTTCCACTCCTCTCATCTTCTCTCCTTTTCTTAACCGAGTAAGAAGTTATTAGGTCCCGGTCAACATTCTGCCCCCAGAAATGCAGTTTAACGGGGCAGAACCCTTCAGGGTGGCACACTCTGGAATTTCCTGTATTTAGTAAGATGAAAACACACTGGCATCCTCAATTAGTGTAACTTCTTGGGGTAATTACTTCACTGAGTTACGATACAATATTTTAACATCTTGCTTTTTAATTAATGTCAGACATGAAATTATCATACAATATATTTTTATATTCTTGATAAAACAAATTGTTATGTCACACAAGTCTTAGATATAGGATGCTGCAGTTTRGATCTRAATGACTCCCAAWGGTCCATGTGTTAATGGTTTGGTTTTCAGGGTGGTGATTTGGAAGATAACGGAATTTGTAAAGGGGAAGCCTAGTGGGTGAGACGTCTTTAGTTTACTAGTGTACTGCCCTCAAGGGAGGGTATAGGGACTCTGGTCACTTTCTCTCCCTTTTTTGTTTAATCAAGCATTCCCACCATGTTCTGTTGCCTTGCTGCAGGTCCAAGCAACAGAGCCAATCATTATAGATGGAAACTTCCAAAACTGTGAGAAAAGTACATTTTTCTCTTCGTAAGTTGATTATCTCAGGATTTTGTTACAGTGACAGAAGCTGACTAAAATGCAAAGACCAAAGTAATRAACTAACCTTAGAGTTTAGTATTGGAGAAAGTTATTTCTAGATAAATTTATGTTTTTTTTTCTCTTCAACATGTAAAGAAATCTTTATAAACCCTCATATTTCCATACATGCTTGGCTACTGGAGTTAACTTAGTGCTTAATTTACAATGAAATTTCATGATAAGACTCTTACTATACAGATTGTTTTTCTGTATGTTAATTCCTCTTGTGTGTAGGTTTTAAATTAAGGATGTCACAAATTTTGTTGTGAAAAGTTATCAAAGTTTTCAACGTAAGATGAAATAAAATGTAACCCAGACAATGAAATGAAATGCCTTGAGGATACAAGAGTGCTATAAAATAATTTTTAATATTTATTTTTTCACTGTAATTGAACACAACATCTTTATTTTGTTTGTTTATTTTTTTAGAAAGAGAGAATTTTTTAATATTTATTTTTTAGTTTTTCGACAGACACAACATCTTTGTTTGTATGTGGTGCTGAGATTGAATCTGGGCCRCAGRCATGCCAGGCGAGCGCACTACCGCTTGAGCCACATCCTCAGCCCTTGTTTGTTTATTTTTATGTGGTGCTGAGGATTCCAGGGCCTCACATGTGCTAGGTGAGTACTTTACCGCTGAGCCACAACTCCAGCCCCAAAATAATTTTTAAAGAGGTAATTATTCAACAGCAGTGCTGATAATTTAGTAATTAATATCAGTTTATTTCATCATCTCCTAATTTTTTATATAAAGAAAAATACCTAGAATAAAAAATTTTAGAGCCTTCATTAATTGTTTGAATGACTTCCAAAATCTATATATTGAATAAAGCATTCAGAATATTGGTCAACCTTTTCAAATGAGATACCAGTTGTCTTTTAAATAACTGGCCATTTGAATATTAGGTAAGAGAGGAGAGGGAAATTCAAATACTTTTATTTGAAAAGAAAGTTGTTTCTTTTCAATTATCTGTCCCTCTTTCGATCACCAATAATAAATCCCCTAATACAAGCATTCTGTTTGCTTGGCCTAGAATCCTATTAAGATTAATGCAGTTGGAAATTAAATTTCTAGACTAAAGGGCCAAGAAATAAAATATCATAGCCTCTCTGAAGTGGCTATGATAAGTGAAAAGGTGTGTTCTCAACCCAGGAAACACAGAAGAGAACTGCTCCATGAACACTAGCAAGCACCTCCTTCTCTCCACCCAGTCCCGGAATATGTTTGAGTATTGTTCTGTTGCAGTGTTGGGGACTGAAATGTTTGCAGTAGGGATTTGCCTTTAGTTGAAATATTTAAAGTAGGGAATGGAATTTAAGCATATCTGTAATTTAATGGAAAGCTGAATTTGGCATAATGTAGTTGCAGTTTTCCCTCATTTCTGTTTTTTTTTTCTGTTCACATTGAGTTTATTTGAGATATTTACATAAACACAGAAAAAAAAAGTTTGATAACTCAAAAAATCTCATGGCCAAAAAACTAAAGCAGACAGTTGTCAAAACTGTAAAATTACTCAATACTGTATCAACCAACGCCAAAACAACTGCATGGAAAGTTAAACAATTAATAAGTTAGTTATTTATGGACCCCTATGCACAAACACATATACGCACGCTTCTGAAAAATATATCCATACACACGGTCAGTATTATGTAACCTAAATTTTCATTCTCCATTCAGATAATCAATATATAGAGACAGGATTTTCTTATTATAGATAATTCAAGTAAGGGTTTTAATTGTCAGTACATTCAGATGCCATCATAATAATACATACTAATATTTTGACTCAGGGGATGGATATGTTAGGAATGGGGTGAAGTACTGGTCTATTAATTCTGGGATAAGTCAAGAACTTCCTATCTGGACAAGAGAGCTCACAGCCCCTTCAGAAGCTCAAAATTTATGAGAGAATTTCAGGACCTTTAAGCAGGATAGCTCCCTCACCCAACTTCAAGCCTCACAGAGAAGAGCTGGACCCCAGAGGAGGCTTTAAAATGAGATCCTCCCTCCAAAGTCATGGTTTCCTACCAGGATCACCACTATCTCCTGCCATTGATTGTGATTAAGAAGAATTTTTAAAAATTTGTAAGAATAAAATTTTCATTGAGAATGAACAGTTTCATGAATGAAGAAAAGCAGCTAGTTTTGTTAAGCGTTTAACTTATGTTAAATGACAATACATTTTTTCCCCCTACAACTTAAAATCTGCCACTTAGAAGCCAAGTTTGGTCTTAGTGGTCTTTGAATTAAGAGTTTTGCATTTTATGATTGAGATTTTATTTTAAAACCCAAGCTATAAAAACTCTAGAAGAAACAGGGAACAGCTTTGTGACACTGGATTTGATAATGACACTAAAAAACCCAGGCAGCAAAACCAAAAATAGACAAGACTACATCAGACTTTAAAACATTTGTTCATCAAAGAGCACAATMAACAAAGTGAAAAGGCAACCTAAGAAATGGGGAAAATATTTGCAAATCATTTATCTGTTAAGGGGTTAATATCGTCCAGAATATATAAAGAATCCCTAAACACAACGACAAAAAGAATGAAATAAGCAGTTCAAAACGTGGATTAATGTTTTGAAGAGACATTTATCCAAATATAATATACAGTGGCCAAGAAACATATGAAAAAGWTGTATTTAGTAATTATCAGAGAAATACAAATCAAACGGGCACAATGAAATATCACCTCACTTTCATAAGGATGGTACACACACACACAGACACACACACACAAACATATACACACTAACAAGGGATGTGAAAAAGTCGAACTTTTGAACAGTGTTGGTGGGATTTAAAAATGGTTTAACTACAATGGAGAAGTGTGGTGATACTTCAAAAAATGAAAAATAGTAGTATGAYATGATCYAGCAATCCCACTTCTGGATGTATATTCACAAGAATTAAAAGCAGGGTCTTGGAGAGTTATTTGCTCACTCATGATTATAGTAGCACCATTTGCAACAGCCCCAAAGTGAAAGCAACCCAAATGTCCATCAGTGGAATGAATGGATAAATAAAATGTGGTGTATATACACAATGAAATACTATGTAGTCTTAAAATATTTCTTAAAAAGGAAGGAAATCCTGTCACATGCTACAACATAGAGCACATTATGCTCAGGAAAATAAGCCAGTCATGAGAAGGCAAATACTATGTGATTTCACTTATATGAGATACCCAAAGTAGTCAAATACATAAAAATAGAAAGTATAAGGGTGGCTACTGGAGGYTGGAGGGAGAGGGGAAAAGGGAAGTTGTTTAGTGAGTATAGAATTTCAGTTCTACATGATAAAAAATATATGGAKATCTGTTTCACAACAATGTAAATGTAATCAAAACCTACTACATTATACTTAAAAATGGCAAATATGGTAAGAGTATATGCTTATGATAAGTATTTTACCACAGTTTTTCTAAAAASCTAAAGAGAGAATACAAAAGAACTTTTATCTATTTTCCTGCTTATAACTAMTCAACCAACAATTCAAGTCATTTATTTAATAAATATTTATCAGGTACTCACTGAAGCCAGTCATTGTATTCTGGTTCTGGAAATAAGTGTACAAGATATGTACATATGGTCTTATCCAGTGGAGAAGACAATTGTGATATTTTCTTACAAGTTCTGTGTTTGGAATGGGTGTGGCTCTTTCTGAAGGAATTTGGACAACAAATATTTCTTAAACTTTGTTTATGTTGTTTTCTCTGCTTAAATTGTTCTCTCTCCACTTTTTAAATTTTTCTCCCTTCAACTATTATTCTTTTTTTAAAGTAATTTTTAATTGATTTTATTTTTTAAATACATGACAGCATTACAATTCTTGTTACACATATAGAGCACAATTTTTCATATCTTTGTATATAAAGTATGTTCATGCCAATTCATGTCTTTATACATGTACTTTGTTTTTTTTTTTGCATTACAATTCTTATTACACATATAGAGCACAATTTTTCATATCTTTGTATATAAAGTATGTTCATGCCAATTCATGTCTTTATACATGTACTTTGTTTTTTTTGCATTACAATTCTTATTACACATATATACCACAATTTTTTCATATCTCTGTTTGTATATAAAGTAGGTTGACACCCAATTCGTGTCTTCRTACATGTACTTTGGATAATGATGTCCATCACACTCCACCACCCTTGCTAATCCTCTGCCTCCTCCCTTTCCCTCCCTCCCCTCTTCCCTATCTAGAATTTATCTAATCCTTCCATGTTCCCCCTCCCTACCCCACTATGAGTCAACCTCCTTATATCAGAAAAAACATTCAACATTTGTTTTGGGGGGGGGGATTGGCTAACTTCACTTAGCATTATCTTCTCCAAGGCCATCCATTTACCTGCAAATGCCATGATTTTATTCTCTTTTATTCCTGAGAAAAATTCCATTGTGTATATATACCACATTTTTTTTTATCCATTCATCCACTGAAGGGCATCTAGGTTGGCTCCACAGTTTAGCTATTGTGAATTGTGCTGCTATAAACATTGATGTGGCTCCTTGGAAATCTGGGAATGGAACCACCATTTGACCYCTCTCCTCGGACTAYACCCAAAGGACTTAAAAACAGCATACTACAGGGACACATCCAACTATTATTCTATTAATTAAATTCAACCCATCATTTAAGACTAGAATGAGTTTCACTCCCTTTCTGGACCATCTGTAGATTATTCTGACTCATATTTCAGGGCTTATTACAGGAACAGGCCAGCTAAACTGAGATATGCTAAGTTTGGGCTATGGTCCAGGTTAACAGATGTGTTGAAGTTCATGTATGGTTGATATTTAAGACCCACGTGATTTTCTTCCCCATGCTGCAGGCCCATAAGCTAATTCTGGTCTAAGAGCTGTTTCAAATCAAGCTCCCACATCTTTTCTGGCTCCTTCCCTGCTCACCTACCTTGGTACTGGAATTGAGATTCCAGGTCTCAACTTTGCAGTTCTAGACCATGACCTTGATTTTTACAACCTTAATTCTCCATGACATCTCAACCTTCATTTATACATCCTCTTGGATGAATATCTTAGGTCAGAGTAACCTTCTCTTTTCTGTTTTCTCATAGGAAATACTTCCAAAATAAAGTATTTTATCTTGTTTTCTCTTTATGACATGTAAGCAAGCATAGCACTAAGCACTCATAGCCTTGTTCTTCATCTCTAGCACTTAATACAGTGTGATGTCACTGTGCTCCACGTACGGTTACAGAATGGGAATAAGAGGGGAAATTACTGACCTCTTCACCATTTTTCTTTCTGCCCAAAGCATATTGTTTTGTTGCTTCAATAAATCGCACAGGAATATTATACACTCGCTTATTAAAGAATACAACTAGTGTATATGGCTGTTTGGAATCATGGCCAGAACTTTTTCGAATAAGAAATGATCCATCCTGTTTAATAAAAGAAAAGCATAATTATAGTTAGTATTATTTATGTTTATACAGGCTACAATCAATTTACAAAGAATACCTATATTATATTCAAAACATGATTAAATAGCTTAATTTTTATTATTAATTATTTTATTTTATTTTATTCCAAGGAAATAGTTCAGCTAAATACAGAAATCTATATCCTGATCAAGGTCAATACTAGCTTTTTTTTTTTCAAACAAAAACTTTCTTTTTAAAATTACATATATTTGGCTTCCCAACAATCCTATGAGATTTCTTTTTTTAAATTATTTTTTAAATTTTGGTTTATTATATATGACAACAGAATGCACTACAATTCATATTACACATATATCAATACTAGCTTTTTGATGTGTTAACTAACATATCATGTTTATAGGCTTTAGAAATGTGTGGAGGAATACATTAAGATAAAACCTAGAGAACATTCCCAAACTAGGAACCACGTCTACAAATTGCCTATGAACAGAGTATCAAGTGTCATCCAAAAGTAATATAAGAAGAAAACAGAGACTAGGTATTAAACCTTCTAGTTGATGGAAATTCTCTCCTTTAACATAACTTATGCTAAGCAGAAAAAACCTATAACACAGTACTCCAATTTTCATTAAATATTTCGTAAATATATAAAATCATAAATTCAAAAATTTAAAGCAAAAAATAAACAAAAAGCAGGTAGAAGAAATGCAACAAGAGTTGATCAAACTCAGGGAAGAATTTGAGGAAAAGGAAAAAATGTATCTCAGAAACAAAGAAAAATTTACCAAGCTGCCCAGGGGCTAAAAGGACCCAAATGAAGATTTAGTTCACAACACTGAAGGTGTGCAAACYACCAAGACATTTAAATAATGAGAGTTATGCAAGGTGTGGTGGCCACACGCCTGTAACCCAAACTGCTTAGGAGGCTGAGCAGCAAGATCCCATCACTGATGTCAGCCTGGGCATCTAAGCAAGACACTGTTTCAAGGAAAAAAAAATGGCTGAGGATGTAGCTCAGTGATAGAGTGCTTGCTAGGTCCTGGGTTCAATCTCCAGTACTGCAAAAGGAAAAGAAGATGAAGAAAGAAAAGAAAAAGAAAAAAAAAGAAAAAACAATGAGAGTCTAAAATACATGTAATTTGAGGCTTTAAGAAAAAAAAAAAGGAAAGCAACAGAACTGCCCTAGTTGAGAAAACGTATTGAATATAAAAGAAAACTCACAATTATATATTGAAAGGACTTCTGTCTACTTGAGAAAATTGACCTGGAACAATCAACTCAGAGACATGTTTTGAATAACACTATTAGACTAAAAAAAAAAAAAGTTGCAGAATCTTCAAAATAACCTATCAAAGTTTACACAAGGCAAGAAAATGACCTTAGCATCAGGCTTCTCAAGAGGCTCATATCAAACAACATAATCCAACAGACCAATACTTTAAAAGACTCAGGCTAAGGATTTTATATCCAGCCAAGATTCCCTCCAAGTATCAGGCTATGAACAAAATAGCTTTTAATGTGTCAGAACCCGAATAATATAAACACAGTTCTTCCTGAGAATCCAATGCCAATAAGCTTCATCAAACCAGAGGCAATTGGGTTGCCACRGAAGGACTGATGGGAAGTATTGATATGTTTGATTGCAGAGGGAGGACTAAACAAGGACAGGGAAGAACGGTATGTAAATGCTGCCTATTCTGACAAAGGAGGAAGTGACATTTTACCTTTGGGTTGTCCAAGCTGTCCACAGTCAGTGTTCCTAAGTGACTGGGGTTAGGCCCTCAAAAATTTATTTCCAGGTTTTCTGACTCATTTGGACATTTGGGCCCAAATTTTTAAACCCACCAATCAATCCCAAACAGCCTGTCACTGCTCATTCCTGAATGGAGCTCAGTCATAGCAAGCCTTCCAGATTCCTCCCTGAAATCCTCCTCTTTGCCATTGTTTGGAGAGCAGTAGAGACTGTGGAACCTTGACATGAAAGGACTGGTAGGAAGGAGGCAGAGGAGCCAGGAGGGATGCTGGAGAGAGGAGATGGAGTTCCTCTTGATGAAGGAACAAGATCTCTGAATCCATATTTTTGCAATTGCATAATCAGCATTAATCAGGATTGACAGCTTTGCCTTTCTTAGCTTTCTTAGGTCCAGGGCACAACAGAGTTTAAAGATGAGCAAACCTTGTTAGATCTGTATAGCGCTTCTTCAGCCGACTTGCGATCGCAGGCACCAGCATACCATGGCTTACCGTGAATGTCAGCTTCCTGTGAAAGGCAGGCATTGTTAGGTGAACACAAGCTGGTCCCTAGAAGACTCTGCAACTTCTGTGCACTGGAAACACAGATCCATTTTTGCACAACCATGACAGGAACCAAAATTGTATATTTGCAACAATAACATGAAAATGAGTAAGAGCTTCCTTTGGCCAACCACAAGAATTATGTCCCTGACACTTTCCAGTTTGGCCTTAAATTCAGTACTTGCACATAACTAAATGCCATCAGGTTCCTGAACCATTTATTTCCTTCTCCTAGATAAGCTAGTCTCTCCACTGTGCTTTCATCCTTGTTGATTTGTGGAGTGTTTAATAATTTCTGAAGTGTTTCTATGAAAATTATCTTATTTGATTTTTGGGGGGAGGGCATCAGGGATTGAACTAAGGGACACTCAATAACTGAGCCTCATCCCCAGCCCTTTATTGTATTTTATTTAGAGACGGGGTCTCATGAGTTGCTTAGCATCTTGCTATTGCTGAGGCTGGCTTTGAACTCTCAATCCTCCTGTCTCAGCTTTCCATGCCGCTGGGATTACAGGCGTGCACCACAGTGCCTGGCCTTATTTAATTCTTGAAGGCAAGAAGGATTCATGCTATTGTCCCTTTCTTACATTTTTACCTAAACTCAGAGACTTGTTCAAGTGCTCAGAGTCATTTTTCTGACTGTTTTTAGACTACACTGTTTTATATGTGTTTTAATATTATAAATCTTCACAGGTCTATTCTAAGGAAATTACAAAGTTTAAATAAATCCATGTGAGAGGAAGAACACGAACATAACACATTTCCTCGCTATTTTGAAGAAACCTGAATTGTTATTCAGGGCATCTGGAACACAAATTGGAATTAAATGGGGCAGGTCTTAGTCATTGAAAAAAAAAAAAAAAAGCTATTTCATGCCACTTGGTAAATGACAACTCACAAAACCAACTTAAAAGACAGGTTCTGTTCCCAAGCCTTCTCCTGACTTTCTCATCTCCAAAGACACACCTTTTCCTGCGTCTTCCTGTAATAATTTAACATATCACAAGTTCATGATAYACACATGTGTGAAATCACTACCAGTGAGTCTCTACAAGGTGCACAGCCAGAGGAATGAGAAGTCATGCCCCATTTGTGTACAATGTGTCAAAATGCATTCTACTGTCATGTATGACTAATTAGAACAAATTAAAAAATTAAAAAGTTCTTGATATACCTGTTCTGAAAAAGTGGAATTAGATGAAAAGCTGAGAGATGGTCCATCCACCGTTGGGCTTCCCCCTTCTGAAAATCCTGAGAAGGATTTGAAAAATCAATTAATCTTCACTGTTTCTTGAGCAGTTACTATGCCTACACCTCATTGCTGTGCTGGATGCTGCTGGAAGTACACCTGCCCCAAATCCTTAGGACAGTGGTTCTCAAAGTGTGGTCCAAGGAACCTGTGARTGAGCCCCCCAGATCCTGCCACCATGCTGTTTTTCTTTTATAGCACTTTAGTGTGTACCAGATATGGCATTGTTTGTTAGGTGTTTATTTATATAGTCTGTTTTCTTCAACAGAATATTAGCTTCATGAGGACAGGGTCTTTCTTTGATCCATCCTAGTATATCCTGTGTCTAGAACAGTGCGTGGCATATGGCACATCTGGTTAGTAATGATTGAAAACATGACTTGGGTTGAAAAACAAGAAAAGAAATAATAAAGTTTTTTAAATAAAGAAAAATAGATTCCTCTAGAAAATCATTTTCACAGTTTGTGTTTCCAGAATTAAAATAAAAACTATTTAGTAAAAGTTTCGTTTATTTAAGGTGAAACATACATGTTATTATAACCCCCCCAAAAGTGTTTTTTTAAATATGCACATAAATTTTTTGTAAATGATAATTATTCTGTTTATTTGAATGGGCTTAATATTAACTATTTTTTACTATATTACAAATTATCCATATAAGGTAGAGTTCCTTCCCCTACATTGGATAGAAATAAAATTAAGGTTTGGGGCAGTTACATTCTGTGAGCCTGACTGATCTGACTCAGAAATTTTTAGGGTGAAGTTTGCCTTGGGAAAATTATCCAGATACTTGGGTAATTTTTTCAGCGTCCTTTTGTAGATATATTTGATGATCAAGATGTATTTTAGATTTAAATTAAATAGCTATCATTTATTGAGAACTTTCTGTGTACCAAGTATTATGCTACGTACTTCCCATATTTTGTTTTCCTTTATCTTCTTATCTTAAAAACAGCTGTAGTGATTTGCTAAAAACAAACAAAAAATCCAGCCAGTACCATATTAAACCAATACTGAAAAAGAAAGAAAAGTAAAAAAAAAAAAAAAATTGTCTCACATCTATTTACCTTTCAAAGCAACTCTATGAAACAAATATTCTTGCCTCCTCTTTACAAACGAGAAGACAAGCAAAAGGAGTTACAAATATCACACAGCTAGGAGTGACAGTGTTAGAACCTAGGACCATCAGAATTTAACCGCCCCCCCCCCACCCCCGCCAGGCTGCTCTTCATGATTCTATTGTACTTACTTGGCAGAGGTATGGGTTTTTGATGGACAGGTCTGAAAAGAAGAATTGCAAGTTAATTAAACAGCAAAGGCACAATATGATTTTTTTGTTTGCTTACACTAACAATGCTCTAAACGGGCACATTTCAAAGGAATCAACCCCAATGACCAATAAGACATACTTAAAGTTAGGAGAGGCACAGAAACCTCAAAGATAAGTAATGTTATTCCCYTTGGCTTTGAAAAAGGAGCCTCAACTAAGGTGTTATATTTTAGCTAAGTCCAATAATTAACCCTGATGATAGGTCTCTGCAATTCTGCACAGTTTGAAAGTTGCTGAACACCTTTTAAAAGATAATTACAAAACAATGAAACATTGGATCTTTACTAAGCTCTACAAGCCAGTGTCATTATGCAGTGCCACAAAGCACATGCTAAATCCCACAGCAACAAGRGGAAAGTTGTTTTTGAAGGGCAAGATTCTTACTTCTGAGCAGGAGRAAACACTGGTGACTGCACAGCTTCTTGTCTGTGACTAGACCCTCGGTGGCGTTCAGCAGGTACAGGCTTTTCTGGATTAGGAGAATTCTCATATTAGGATTAGAGTGGAAGGTTTGTCTCCATCCCCAAACCCAGCCACATTAGCCTAGGAGAACCAGGTTTGGTTAGATTCTTCCCAGGACATCATTGATCTGTACTCCTGCCAGTTTGCTGCAATTAGGATTCCCACCCAACAGTGTTAGAGGTGCACCATATACCTCTGTGCTCATCCTCTGGCAAAGTTCATGGAGACTGAGTGGGTGGGGCTGGACCTTTAAGTGTGTGAGCACAGGTGGTGCCAGAAGATGAGCAGGTCTCAACACCCTCTGCACCCTACTTTCTATGTAGGATAGCTTCACCCACCTCCYGCCACCTCCTACAGTGTGTCTCAACTAGCCAGAAGATGTGGTGKCATTTGTTACTGATAAGAGGTAAACATCAGGATTCATGAATTATTCACTTTTTTTGAAGAACTTATTGGATCAAATTGAAATTTATCTCTGTAATAATGTTAATCTCACTGGTATTTCACTGTTCTTGCTTGAGGAGTAGGTAGACAATGGACATAAACCTCTAATGTAAGAAATTTAARTTGAAGCCCATGGGGAACTTTACTCCTGAACCATTAATAAATATGATCCATAAATTATTTTAATGATTTATTCTCCCTCTTGGTCTGGGGGTGTGTTAAACTCTTGGTGTATCTGTGGATGAGTTTCCTGTATGGAAGAAAGATGGAGAGCTATGGGAACCCCAAAGGGAAAAAAAAGTAGCAAGAACTCAAAAGATTTAAATACTGTAAGTGGTAAAATAGACTTCAGGGTTTCTTGTGGTGCTCTGAAGTTCATAATGTGTGGCAAGTTACTTTGAGCTGCCATCTTTTGCTCATGACTTTAAAATTTGGTAATTGTTGGGAAAAGTATAAACGGCAGTCRCACCCCAGAGAAAAACCCCAACATAGCGCCTAAGGACCTCTTCTTCCTACCTTCYTCTTTTCTGCAGTGGCGCGAAAAGTTCCCGCCCCTGTGAACTCTCCCACCGGTGCCAATTTCAAATCTCGCTGGCGGGGAACCTTAGCCCCAATAAGAATTAATTCCTGGGCTCCAGAGCTGATATCTGGAAGAACTTGCCAATAAACGGGTGGCCTGCCATTTATCTAAGCCCTACCATCTCCCCTTAGTTCTATATAAGCATATAGCCTTTTGCAATAAAATTGGAATTCCCCCGGAGAAGTGTCTTTGCTTGGGGAATTCTTTCAGTAATTTCCAAAGATGGTACAAGGACCACATAGGTTCCAGCAGCTTTTGAGCTCTGACTACACCGGGTTTGCTTCGATCATACTGGAGGCTTCCTTTCAGGTGAGGGAAGGTTCTTCCCCTATTTTGGTTTGGATGGCCATCACCCCTGCTTTTTAAATAAATACACTGGAAGTGACATGCTAAGTTCCTGTGCTTGGGAGTCCTTTGAGAAAAAGGACTCTTGAGCAGTAGAACACATTCCCTAAGCCTGGTTTTTGGAGGCTCCCAAAGCCATGAAGTTGGTACAGGGTTGAACTTACTTCCTACAGAGGCTTTGAGTCTCAGAAGCCTCTGTATCACTCTATCTTCCCTGTTCAACAGGCAGGAGAGATTGCAAGGRATGGAAGAGCATGAGAAGAATACATAGAATGTTCAGGAAGAGGAAAGCATCACAGGAAAGGCAGAGAAAGCTAGAGAGCAGAAAAGAAGTGCTGCCTCCTAAATAACTTGGGAGAAAAGACACGGGAGGTAGAATGGAAAACCCAAAGAATTAAAGCAGAGGTATGAGTTGTAGGCACAATCAGAAAAGATCCATTGTCTATCATCAGAGAAACCAGCACATTCCATGTAGATATGTCCACATGAATGCAGGAAGCAGTGAGAGGAACCTTCACTATGGCTTTAGCATTAGGTACCTTTGGGTATGGAATTAGAAGTGTGTAGGACTTGAACGGCTATTTAGTGTTTTAAGTGTTGATATTATGAATGATTCTTATGTCCTTTTTTCCCATTACACATTTTTCAAATGTAAATATTTTTAATAGGGAAGTTATTTAAAAGGTAAGATTTTTGAGTTATGATAAAACAAAGGCAGARGAGCAATTGAAGATGTACTAAGACAGTTGAATTTTAAAAACATCAGTTTTAAAACTTAGCAAAAAGAACTTATTCAGAGCTGGGAATATAGCTCAATGGTAAAGCCTTTGCCTAGCATTGTGAGGCCCTGTGTTCAATCCCAAGAACTCGGGGGGGGGGGGGGGCGGGGGGAGAAAGAAACTTGTTCAAATATTTCTAAGATACGTTAATAGCTCTAAATGAGTCTTTACATCTATGTAGGGCCAATGCACTGTTTCCTGGCCAATCATTCCTGTCTGCAAATGGGCAGGTATTTGGCAGGTAGACTGTAGTCTACTTCAAACACCCTACCTGGTAAGTTCACGTTCTGAGCTAGCTTTGCTACTCACTATTCGTGCAAAGTGAAAGGCTATTTAGAAAATTCATGTTTTTCATTGCCTTGTAAAGAGTGAAGGAAATATAAAATTAGATTTAGTACAAATCCTTAATTAAAATTACTTTTAAAGGACATGCTAATTTTTCAAAGTAATAGATTTACCTTCACAACCACTTGATGCATTCTGTTGAGAGGCAACTGGAGTCTGTGTGAGGRAAAAAAAAAAGGCAAAGATGGTCAAATAGTGGAAGTAAAAACCAAAGCAGGGCTGGGGTTGTGGCTCAAGTGGTAGAGCACTCGTCTAGCATGTGTGAGGCACTGGGTTCGATCCTCAGCACCACATTAATATAAAATAAAGATATTGTAACCACCTAAAACTAAAAAATAAATATTTTTTWAAAAGCCAAAGCACTATTACTAAAATAAATATTTTGGCAGTTTTCTTTGATGCATAACTAGTAYTTCAATCACGACAACAATTATAAACACACAGTCCCCATTCCAAACTTTGCATTAAATGATAACTGACTGGAAGTGTCTCAAGGAGAAACAGTGTCATCTTGGTGTGGGAACCCTTCTGTTCCATCATTGGGGTTCACGGGTATGGTGACCCCAGCAGCTGCCCAGGAGTAGCACTTGTGCAGTGGTCATCTAACACCTGGAAGAGGTTTGGTCTCTTGGCTCCACCTTCTGTGTGTTTGYTAAGGGATTGTCAATGTCAGGTTCCACAGAAGGGTTTTTTGAGTTGTGATAAAAYAAAGGGCTGCCTTGTATAATGGGGTGGTCCAGGTTCACCAAGTTCTGGCCAGAATCTGAGTTTAGTCTGAGTCTGCATGCCTGACTGACAATGGCCTGCCATTTTACTTGGGTGGTTAGGGGTGGGAGGCAGGGCAGCAAGACAAGGGCTTCCTGTGGGAAAGGCAGAGGTGGTGGGAGGCAGAGAGTCTGGCCCCCACTGGTGATCTGCTGCACACCCTCAGAGTAGTCACCAAGGTCCAGTGAGGACAAGCTCCTCTCGGGCATTAGCCTCCCAGGTTASCTGAGGACTCCAGGTTCCTCTGGACTAGTTGGATAGCAGCTAGTTGGATTGCTGCGTTCACTGTAGCTGGAAGCATTGTCAACTTCAAATAAGTGGATAAGAATAAATACTGCAGAAAATATGAGACACTTCTAAATGCAAAATTAACTTACCGTCTTCAGTGGTGTAGCTGGTTTTTTCCTGAGAAATAAAAAGAAATTAACTTTGTTAAAACACAATGAAGATAAAAGTAGCTACCGTCTTACTCCCAAATTTAAACTAGAATAATGAAAGAGATAGGAGTGGGTAGGAAGGCTGTCCTTGAAGGGCAGAGAGGGATGGAAATAAGATTTGGTTATGTCCTCCTGGTTCAAACAGAGTCCATTGACAGATGAGGAATGGCTAGGGGCGATGGACAAGAGCAAACAGGTGCAGCTCTTGCTCCAGTTCTGATTACGAGGTGACCTTGGGCCCTTTCTCTTGACTGTGTGGCAAATCTGAGCTTCAGTTTCCTCACCTGTGACACAAGGACCAGAGTCAGCATTTTCAAAGTGTGTATGCAGAGCCCCCTGCTTCCCCTCTGGTACCTGAGCTACCTGCTTAGGGCAGGAGTGGGATAAGAGGACAGCGAGGCAGGGCAGGTTGGGGCCGGTACCTCCCCACACCAACCTCCGCCCTGCTTCTAGGTGACTATTCTCTTCTACACGTCTGTGTAAAATTTCATTCAGAGAGATCCAAGGCCAAACGAGTTTGCAAACCACTATGAATCGTGGCCCTGGAGGTGCTGCCTTCACTACCATTTCTGTTTCCAATACAGCTGGGAACCTAATACTGCTCAGGTTTTGTGCTTCTCTTGGGTGCTTATTTTAATCTCCCCCCTCTTCCTTCTCCCTCTCGCTTTTTGACTGACAGCTGCAGCTAGGGGGATAGGAGAGGTATAATAACAACAATTACCCAGTGCCTGCAAGAAGCCTAAAGTTGGGTTAGGCTCTCCACAGTTATTTAAACCTTTTACAATGACCCTTTCAAATGGGTATTATCATCATATTTTAGAGAAGGGAAAATGGAGGCTAAGTAACTTGCCCCAAGTGATAAAGCTGAGCCAAAAGAGAAGTGTGAAGAGTTTTGGTTCATAAATCCCTGAAATTAAGTTTTTCTTCTCTTTCTTTTTTCTTTCCTTCCTTCCTTCCTTCCTTCCTTCCTTCCTTCCTTCCTTCCTTCCTTCCTTCCTTCCTTCTTTCCTTCCTTTCCAGTTAAGGCAGAGTTAAGATTATAACCATGCAGGCACTTTAGGTATAAATATATTGAAGTGTGCTTTTAAAATAACCTATTGAGCCAACATAATTTCACAGGGTCACTGTTTGTAATAGTAACGCATTACAACATTCATCTGACCATATACAAAGCCCCTTTGGATTCAGTAAGAAAGAATAACCCTTTTGTGTCACCTTGGAAGGGAGCCTCCATGGTGTTGCTTTGAACACCCTAACATAGGCTGCAAATGGTACGCACATTTATTTATAGACCATTAGAAAGTAAAGATAAAACCCGTTAGGAAGCCTCAAAATTATTTTGGTGCAGGAGCATCTAAAAGTCAGGGTGTTGTGTCGAACACAGTAAGTCAACAGTAAGTCAAAGAACTCAGGATTTAACTAGAACTCTGTGGGAGGATACACTCCTCCCTTCCTGTCTCAGCAGGGGCTCCCCACATCCAAAGTGCAGCCTGCCTTGGAGGTAGAAGAGAACTCTGCTCAGAGTCTGCAGGACAGCAGGGTCCTGTAGTTCCCACCCCGTCACATTTCACAGAGATGCTTCCGAAGCAAGTACTCACCCAACCCTCGGCAGTGGGGATGGTGCCGCTGGTGAAGAAGGTGACTTGGATTCCCAGACCCCGCTGTTCCGACCTGAGTTAACATACACACAGTTAGTCCCTGTGTCCTGCGCTGATGGTCTCAATGGGGCTSGCCTTTCTGGCAGACTCAGGAACATACACACTTTGTGTTGCACATATTGCTAGTTGTGAAGCCAAGAGCTCACACTTGCATCCATGTACAGATGTACAGATGTGCATCACAGAGGTGCTGAGAGAAAAGGTCAAAGTCACCACTCCTGATACACAGTATAGACCCCGCTCACCCATAACCCCACTTCCATACCGTACATGGTACTTCACCTCACATTGGATATTCACTTGTTCATTGCAATGTTCTCAGGGCCTCTGCCTAGGGCACAAATGGTCCAATTGGGACAAGTGGCAGGCTTCTCCCCAAATATCATCTTTCARAGTCACAGAAGAGACCCAGAGGGTCTTGTGCCCTAACCCAACTCTCTTCTCACTTGAAGACAGAGCCAGACAAYCTTATGAGGCAGGAAGCATGAGAGGCAGGGGAGAGCTTCATAGCTAGGGAAGAGGGAAGGCCTGGAGCAGGGAGGCCAGAGCTAAGCCAGCCCTCAGTGTCTGCTGGCTGCTCCCTCTCAGGCAGATGCTGGGCTCCTAGGACATTGTTTCTCAGTGAAACTTACGGGGTTCTGATAAGACCTCTTGTCGAATCAAATTAAATTGAATAAATATTTAATTAAGAACTACTATATTGATAAGTCCACAATTCCTAATGGGCTTATGGGAGATGCTCATAAGCATAAGTTGGACCTGCTGCCCCTGGTATATATTATTTTAGTTTGCAAGACAGCTCAGAAGTAACACTGAGACAATAATCAGAGCACACAATAACACTGAGGCAATAATCAATTGCCAAGAATTATTGAGAGCTGGTCTGTGTAAAGCACTTGAAGGCCTCGTGTCAGTACACAGTGGAGGTCTTGAAGGAGTGGACCAAGGCCTCTGCCTTGTTGACACAGGCAAGACACGTGTACCCCATGTCATCATATCTGAAAACTAACAAGAGAAAAAGGCCTCAAAAAGTATTTAAAAAKAGATGGCAGGGTTTATTCTCATAGACATTACTACAGAGAGGCCCTCAGGTTTCTTCTCAGAGCCCAGCTACTCTTTTTCTATGCACAGTCCTTGCATAGGRCTAACTTCCTAAACACAAGCAACAGTGACAGCAAAAAGTGGGTAGTTTTGCTGGGTGCAGTGGTGCACGCCTGTAATCCCAGCAACTTGGGAGGCTGAGGCAGGAGGATCGCGAATTCAAAGCCAGCCTCAGCAGATTAGYGAGGTACYCAGCAACTCAGTGAGGCCCTGTCTCTAAATAAAATATTAAAAAGGGCTGGGGATATGGCTTAGTGGTTAAGCACCCCTGGGTTCAATCCTTGGTACCAAAAAAAAAAAAAAAAAAAAAAAAAAAGTGGGTAGTTTTTCCCTAGGACCCAATAAAGCACTGCCACCTCCAATGCCACTCCTACTTACAGGCTGCCTGATTTGGATATGATTTTAAAAAGCTATTTGGGAAAAAGGCTACATTTAGAATTTTACATTTCATGTGACAATAAACTGAAATGTCATCTCAATATGTCACATGAGTCCAACTGAGTTTAGTTWACTAGTGTACAAAYTGAATACTTAAGCTTGATGCTGCTACAATATCCCTGGGTTGCTCATAGATTTTAGTGGAAGATTTCAAGGAAGAGCAAAAAAAAGTTCTTGTCGGAAAAATAAGGAAGTAGAAAGAAGGTCTAAGTCAGTGTTTCCTCCCAGGGGTTTCCCTCTACTTAAATGTCAAGGACTCCTTTGGCCTTGGTAAGTTATCTTTGTCAGAYTCACTGCCTGGCGTTTCTACTAAGCTTCCCCTTCCCTCATATCTCCAAACACCCTGCCAACGTCTTCCCTTTCCTTCGCYTCTCCATAAATAACTTCTGGTGACCAGAGGAGAAGGAGGGCCTCCCAGCTCTTCTCTGTGGTAGAGGACAAGTGCTGGCAGAAAACCGGTGGTCCTGAATCAGGAAGACAGGGTTCTCGTTTTTCACCTGTCACCCAACTGGCTGGGTGCCTCTTGCAAGCCACAGTGCCTCAGTTATRCCCTCTGTGAAATGGGGGCACCACTACCTACCTTATCCAACCCAGAGTTAGTGTGGTAAGATAATATTGTAACTTCCAAKTTTAAAGAACTGGTCAAATATAATAATGGTAATATACTGGGAAGAGATTTAAAGTTTTTGAAGGTCAAAAACATTATGCTAAGGAAAAGGAGCCCAATGCAAAAGACTACATATTGTATGATTCTATCTATATGAAATGTCTAGAAAAAGCAAATCTATAGCAACAGAAAACAGACCAGTGGTTGCCTGGAGCTGGGGGTAGAAACAGCAGTAACTATAAATGGATATAAGGGATCTTTGGGGGTGGGGTGGGCATGGAAATTTTCTAAAACTGGACTATGGTGTTGGTTATATAACATATTACTATAAATGTAATGGTTTACAAAAATCATTGAGTTATATGCATAAGATGGGTGAGTTTTGAGATATGTAAATTCAACCGATGAAGGTAAATTATAACTCATGAAGGATCTTGGGAAACATGATTATTATTGTCTTTGTTTTAGTGTCTTGTGATCAACCATCACAGTCTCTCTAGGGAGCCAGCAGAGTGCCAGGTACTGTAAATGTGTCACCTCCAAGTCTCATGTAACATCAGGTAGGGCAAACCGGGGCTCCCAGAGGGTGGGTGGCAAGGCTAGGGCTTACACCAAGGGTATTTGAGCCTAAACCTCTGGCAAACACTTTGCTCCCCTGCCAAGATGTCACAGGACGTGGTTTAGCAAGTCAGATTCACTTGTTGCTTCTCCCTTAGGAGGTGAAAGAGAAAGGGAATGGGGTGGGGGTACTTTTCTGGATGCCCAGGGAAGATGGAAACTAACTATATCATGGGCCAGGGTCTTCCAGCTGCTCTGGGACTCCAGACCCAGTTCACTTGATACCTTCTCCTCACTTCCAGGACCCTTGCTTTCTGGGAGAGCTTAATTCTTGGTCAGGATGCTCCAATGGAAAATTTGGAAATGCAGTAGATATTTCTGGTTTCTAGGGGGAAGAGGCCAGGGATGCGTCCAAATATCTTACTCCGGGGCAGCCTTGCTACAGAGAATTATCTGACCCCAAATGTTAATAGTGCCAAGGCTGAGAAGCCCTGATTTAGAGTAAAACTTTATATCAGAAGGAAGAAACAAAATTGTTCCCTGAGAGGTATACAGGAGGCTCCACCAGAATGGTCCCAAATCATGGCAGGTAAAAGAAGGGGTTCTTAAGGGTAACCATAATAATGACAGAATCTTTCATTTTATGAGTGTGATCCTTATGTATTTATTCCTTTACTTCTCATAATACCACTAGGCATAGGTGCCATTTCCTCCATTTTTCAGAGGAAGAAACAGAGCGATTACTTCACTTGCACAAGGTCCTAGCAAGTGTCAGAGCCCTCTGGCCTGGAATCTGGGCTGGGTCCATGCCTCTGTGCTTCTCGGGGAGGCAACACCAAGAGAAGGGCAGAGCCTGCCAACGCACCTCATTTCCTATGTCTTCCTCAGTGAGCACCTTACTGGTTATCACAGGGCCAAAAACAACCTTTTCCAGAGGTTCTAATGTGGGGTGGTCCCTCCCAAGTCACCTCTCTGCCTCTAGCCCCCGTCTTTCCTCCCATCTGTATGCAATAATCCCATAACCAGGACATTATTTTCTTGTTTAGATTTGGTTTCTTCATCTGATGCCTCTAATATTAAAATACAGTTCCACTGGGTTAATATCAAACTTGTGAGTAATACATCCAATGGTCTAATGCCCTTGTGATGGTGCCATGAGATTCTTTAAATACAGCCAGTGTTTGGGGACGTCCCCTCTTAACCAACTGGCCCTTCACTATTTTGGTGCCTCCTTTAAATTAGGTCCTGAGCYAGCTGGGACATGGAACTGAGAGTCTTAGAGGAAAGATTGGAGTCTCCCCAGGGGTCATGGGACAAAGGGCATGCACAGGGCAGTATAGGAGAGCACATGATGGGACCCTATCCCTATGTGGGATCAGTAAAGGCCTCCTGAGTGAGTGCTGTCCATGCAAAAGTCTTCAAGGAGCCTCTAATATACTTATGGAATTAGATGAGACACAGAGGGATCAGGAAACAGGTAAGGGCCAAGGATACATGGGGAGACTTTTGGTAAAGGAGAGGTCTCTGAGGGCCACAGAAACCAGAGCGGGAGGCCTCACACTGGGTCTTGAAGGATGGACAAGAGTTGATACCTTAAAAGTCAAAACCCACATAAAGACCAAAGAGCAGGACCCATGAAGTACAGGCAGATTGGAGTACAGGGTGTGTTTTAGGAAAAAGTCCTTGTAAGGCAAGCAGAGCTGAGATTAATAAACTGGTTTCTAAAACAGGATTCATTCATCTGTAGTCAAACTCTCATCCTGACTTGGCTCCCCATTTCAACGGGGACTATAGTAGCCTCATCATGACATTTTGGGCTGGCAAGCTACCCTTTGTTCCCAGAACCTAAGATGAGCTGAAATAGGGCTCTGACTTCCCATTCCCACATTCAAAAAGGCTGTGAGTTCTGAGGAAGAGGGTCAGACTAGAAATTGTGAGAAAAGTGAACAATTTCACCAGGAAAGAGTCTAAGAAATGATTTTTTAAAAATAGTTTCCCCTTCATTTTCTCTCAAGGATCCTGTCAATGGAAGCAGAGCCTAAACTTCCAAACCCTTGTGTTCAACTCGGGACAGGGTGTGTGTGTGTGTGATGTGTGTGTGTGTGTGTATGTGTGATGTGTGTGTGTGTGTGATGTGTGTGTGTGTGTGTGTGTGTGTGTGTGTGTGTGTGTATGGTGTGTGTGTGTGTGTGTGGTGTGTGTGTGTGTGTGTGTGTGTATGGTGTGTGTGTGTGTGTGGTGTGTGTGTGTGTGTGTGTGTGTGTGTAGGGGAGAGAGACAGAGACAGAGAGAACACTCTGGGAATGCAGGAGTGGGAGTCCCACCCCTCTCTGCAGGTAATAGGGTGGGGAGTGGGTACCCCTCAGTATCTCTGGTCTTGAGGGTTGTAGGTACTGTTCAGTATCTATAGGTTTGGGGGCTGCCAAAACCTACAGGAGGAGACAACCAGGGACTTCTGGATGTCCATGGCTTGGGTAGGAGTGACACATAATGGGATGAGCTGGCAATATCTGCAGGAGTTCAGAAGCTCATTCTTGTTGCTAAGGAGAGAGCTGAGAGGCAGGGGTGTGGCTAAGTGACAGACCAGAAGGTACGCAGTGATAAAGGAAGAAAGCCCCACCTAGGGTGTAGCTGCTAAAATGGAAGAGCAYATTTGGAAGGAAGAAACAGCAGGCTTTGGAAAGAACTCAGGAACTCTGAGATGTGTAGCCTGGAGGAACCAGGATGGCAATAGCTTTGAGCTCAGTGATGGCAATATTGAGCTTGCAGGGACACTATGACCCTCAGAAAGGAAATCAGGCAGGGGCTGGATACCAGGGAGTTATCCCATAGACACAAGAAGCAATGCCAGAAGAGTGGACAAACCTAAAAATGTGAAAAGTCATCCTCTTTCCTGAACACTGACGGTGTGCCAGGCACTCATTAAGAGTTCTTGTCATGACTTCAGAATTCTCCTGTCAAGGKCAGGGGCTGTTGTTTGTCTCCACTTATAGATAACAAAATCTGGGGAGCACAAGTCCAGGATGGTACAGCTGGTAACCAAGAGTGCCAGGATTCCAACCCAGGTCTGTCTGACTCAAACCCCCTGATTTTAACACCATAGTRGAAGAGCTGAGGGCCAAACCCTGGGGAAATCCTCATCCAGGGGCCAGAGACAGGAGAAGCCGTCAAGTGCTTAGTGAGGAGGGATGAAGACCAGGACTTGTCTAGCAGAGGCCAGAGGGTCTGGGATGGGGGTTCTTTCCACAGAGGAGCCACCACACTGTTCCCATCTACTAAGAAATGGGAAATACAAGTGCTAATTTCTTCATGTTGGATCTGAGCTATAGATCTCATTTGGAAAAATTCAAAACCAAACCAAATCACGTGATACTATACCTGAAGCTGTTCCGGGAAGAGAGGTCAGCTTGGAGGAGCTACTTGGCTTGGTTGATCTGTTCACCATAGGAGCTTAAACACACAAAAATATATACAGATAACCATGACAGATACATTCTCCTGGGGGAAATTACCTCATCAGGAAAACTAAAGGGTCCTAATGGGTCAGTCTATGGAATTTGCCAAGAATGAGTAAGAGACACCCTTATTAAACACACAAACCATTCAAAGAAGTCTCCTCACAGGAAATCTCTGGAATGAATATATTAAGGATTAAAGGAAKAATCAGATTATTTTATGACAGGGATTTGTTAAAATGAATCCAGGGAATATCATTTGCCAAACTGAAGTTCTAGGAGATGAATGTTTGTTTTTTTAGAAGTATGTTCAACCTAATCATGGAAAGGCCAAGTTAATAGGCCCCCCAACTCCCCAACTTCCCTTCAACATGCAATACATTCAATTTCTCTTGGAGTGCATGTGTGTGTGTGTGTGTGTGTGTGTGTGTGTGTGTGTATTTTAGAGGGAGGGTGAAGAGAAGTGTGTATGTGTTGTTTTATGGCAATGGTGGCTTGGGAATTCAGGTGGGTCTTATGTACAGGAAAGTGTTGCTACAGGGAGGCAGAGTTAATACCTTGCAGTCAAGTTTATTAGATGGGTAGTGTTACCTGAAGAGGCAAGTGCATGGGATTATATTCTGCAAAGGAACTACATTCAGAATAAACATGCCCTATTTTGGTGCCAGACCTGAGAGTGTGGCACTGGCTTTTTTAGGGTAACTTGTTTGTGAGAGCATCTGCTACACTGTACAGGATTTATAAATGCAATGTTTCTCATAAGCCTGGGATACCAGGACCTTTTAAGAATCGGGATTCAGAGCACAGTTCACTCTTTCAMCCCATCAGTCCTCTAAGGAAATTGTTCCTAGTGCAGCATGCATAAGGCAATATGGTAGCTTGCAGCTCTATGAGAAATCCTTTCTATGCAAGGGCAGCTGAAGGTAACCCAGTGCTTTTAGAAGTTTGGATGGAAATATTAAATCATGGGAGAGGAAAGTAGAATGAGGAAGGTAAGGGGAAAGGCTCCAGAGATGAGTTGCTCACTGATCTCTCTGCTCCACCAGCCAAAGGAGGCCCATGATGTGGCTACAGAGGAGAGAGGCCAGGGCATTGCCATGTCTGAACCCTTAGTGCTTACTACTAAAGAGTTCTGAATGTCCTRAGTAACTTCTAGAAGTTGTCAGATATGGGAATCTGCAGACTGTTACCTTTTTCAGATGGAGGTGAACTGCTTTCTGTTGGATGAATATAGTTTTCATCATTATCTTCCACAGGGACAACATAATCAGCCTAAAGGAAATGCATAGATTAATGAGAAGAATCTGGGTATTCATAGATGACTTTGGGGAGGGAAGTAGGAATTTTATAAAACAAGGCTTTACTTATAATTCACATGCCATAAGAACACACTATGTAAAGTTGACTACTTAGTACAATTTGGTATGTGGCCATCCCTTGGTATCTATAGGGGTTAATTCCAGGACCTTCTCCCTCCATGGATACTAAGTTCCCTATAAAATAGATAGTGTTAAAGGGGAATTGCATGGAAATGGAAAGAGACCCTCATTGTTATAAAAAACTACATAAAAGAGGTTGTGAGGGGAATTGGAAGAAAAAATAAGGAGAGAAATGAATTACAGTAGATGGGATAGAAAGAGAAGATGGGGGGAGGGGGATAGTAGAGGATAGGAAAGGTAGCAGAATACAAC